ATTCGTGTGTGTATTATATTCATATTGTATTTTTAGTTGTGAAATTGAAATTAAAAGAAATGTAACTTAAATTATTAGATTAATAATAGAAACATCATATTAATTATTGTTAAATATCACTTCACTTCGCATTTATTTGTATATTTGTCTTACATATAACTTTTCAATTTGTATATTTTCATAACAAGAAGAGGTATGTCATAACTCATGTAATCTCATTTAATTAGATTTAACTTTTTTTTAATACAAATGATCAAAATTGAACTAATTAGACTTATATATATATCTATATATATTTAATTTTTTTAAACTAATAATTTAAAAAGTTATAAATATAAAAATTAACTTATAAATTTTATGTATACCACAAGATAAAATATTAAATTAGTTCAAGATAATTATAATAATTTTTTTTTTAATTTATAAAATCTCATGCATAGCATGGGTTACCACTAGTTTAGAATTAGATAAGAAGAGACATTTAATCTAAGAAAATATTATAAATCTTAAATAATTGGGAGACTTATTTATAAGTCATTTTTCAGACACTTATGGTAGGCTAAGTTCTGTGAAATTTCTTATAGAGTCTCAAGTCCTATTTAGATAGGAATGTATTCCACAAGATCCTACATAAACATAACGTGACGTGACACTTACATAAACGTAACGTAACGTGACACCTATATAAACGTAACGTAACGCGACACTTACATAAACGTAACGTAACGTGTCACGTTACGTTTCGCAAACTTAATGAGTTTTTATTTTTTTAAATTGAATGTGAAAATATTGTTAGTGTCATGTTACGTTTCATATAAATATGATCTATGGCAATATTCAATTTTCTCTCACGTTACGTTTATGTAGATGTCACGTTACGTATAGGTGTCACGTTACGTTTATGTAGGTGTCATGTTATGCTACGTTTAGAGGTGGGCGCGGGTCGGTTGCGGCCACGAAACCTCCAATCCGCTATCCGTCCGCCAGATTGGCGGATTCGAGAAAATCAATCCGCATCCGTCCGCCAATCCGGCGGATGTGGATTGAGTGGATTGGCTTTTTGGCGGATGAATGCGAATCGGTTTGGCGATTTAAAATTTTATAAATTTTCAACATAATTCAACTTGTGCACTTCTTCAAAAAAAAAAAGAAAAAAATAAGAAAGTATTACAGTTAATGAGTTAAAAAAATATTACAATTACTGCATGCCTCATCTAAAGGAAAAAAGTTTGAAACTTTAAAATATGACAATCATTGCATGCCTCATCCACATACTACAATCACAACATGCCTCATCTACATAAAGTATTACAATCTGTGATTCTTAAAATATAAAAACAAATCAAATCACCAAAACCAACACAGTAGTAGTAGAAATTGTATGTCTCTGTATTGTTAAATCTATATCTGTTTTGAAAACAAAAAACCAACCAACATATATCATATTTTCTATTTATTTTTTTTAGAGATAGATTTAAAAATCAAAAAATATAGATAAATAATACGTTTATTTTTTTCAATTAAAAAAGATATTCAAGTGGAAAACTTTTTTTAACAGAATATTTAAACTCTTTTTTAATTGAAAACACAAACAGAATATTTAAACAAACTGAAAATATAAAGTCTTATAAATTACTAGGGGTATTCGCGGTTTGGCGGTTCAGTTGCGGCCAAAGGAATCTCAAATCCGCCATCCGTCCGCTAGATTGGCAAATTGGGGAAAATCAATCCGCAACCATCCGCTCATCATCACGCATCCGTCCAAAATGCGGCGGATCGGTTCGGTTCGGTTCGGTCGGTTTTGGCGAATCGATGTATCCACTGCTCACCCCTAGTTACGTTTATATAGATATGATCTATGGTAACATTTAATTTCTTATATATGGTTTTACTATTATTTATGATATTAACAACTAATATTGAAGGTAAATGTGTCAACAAATTTCACAAAAGACTTATGAAAACATAAATTTTTTAGTATAATCATATTTAACAAAAGTCTTCCTAATAGGACTTCTAAGCCTCCGTTTGGGAAGTGGGTTGGCTTTTTGGCTTTTTGGCTTTTTTGGCTATTTTAGCCTGGGCTTAAAAGCTTGGTTGGGAAGGGCTTTTTGGCTTTTTGGCTTTTTTGAGTTTTTTTGTGAGAGAAGAATGTAATGATTATGGGTTAGATGTGATGTTTTGTTTGTTATGACTAAAATAGCATTTTTTGTTTTTTGTGGCTAAAATAGCCAAAAAAGCCTGCAAACCCACTTGCCAAACACAGACTAAATAATTTATCCTAAATAATTTATCCAATTTCTTATTAAACTTCTCGCATAAATGCAAAACCTACACAAACCTACGTGTATGAGCTTTGTTTGAAAGTTTCATATGTAATTTGCCCTTTAGTAAATAATACATGTAGAAATAGTTACTACTTTTTGTAAGTAAATATGGACAAAAAAAATATTCTCAATTATATGATCATACTCAACTATATTGACAAGAAATATATAATTTAATATTTTATCGTAACATCACTAATTTTTTTTTGGGCAAATTACATATACACCCCTCCAGGTTTGGTTAAATTACAGATACCCCTGAGGTATCGGAATAGAAAAGTGAGATTTAATAGCAATTTTGATCTGTATAATACTGATCATTATCCAAGCAAGTTCAACATTTTTAATGTCTCACGCTCAAAATTGCTTTTCCTTTGCTGCGACTGGTTTGGAAATATACTATTTTAATAATTTTATATTTTTAAAAGAATTTTTTGATTTTTTTTTTTTAAAAATGCATAAAAGTATAGACAAGAAAGATTTTTTTTTGGAGGGATGATTTGTGGTTTTCTTTGGACTTTTTAGTGACTTTTTTTTAACTCTTTAGTTGTTTTTCTTTTCTTTTTTTTCCTTTTTTCCATTTTCAGATTTTTTGTTTTTAGAAATAAAAAGCACGAATGATTTTGAAAATATCTACCACTAAGGCCATCTCCCGCTCTTATTCAAATTTAAGTAAAAATTTGAGTAAATGAAGTGCTTCAATGGATAATGATTTATCTGGAAACTACAAAATGGTTGAAAATTTCAAGTTGATCTAAGTTTGAGTCAAGGGGTGGAGAGGTTTTTGAGTGACTTTGCCCAAATTTAAATTTGACATAGGTTTGAGTAAGGATTGGAGATACTCTTACATATTTTCATTTTTGTTGAAAAATTGGAAAAATAATTTGGTGTTTCCTAAAAATTGAGTTGTTTTCATAAAATTTTCCAGAGCAGTTTTTGGCATGTTCTATGGAAAACGAAAAACATAAAACAAAAACAAAACCAAACATGCCATGATGCCACAAACTGTTGTTGGAACCTTAGGGTTAGAAACCTACCTATCAGTCCAAACATGAAAGGGCTCTACATGTATTTTCTACTACTACCCATTTTGCAATTGTTTTAGATGGATTTCTTGATTCTTTTCAGTTCTAAATCATTTGTTCGAAATTTCTCAAGGTAACTTTTACGATTGATGCAGATTGTATCAAATGGCAAGTTCAAAAGTGTCGATCACAGAGTGGTGTCTAACCACGTTGGACCAAGAATGTCTAACACTTTTTTCTCTCAGGTGTTTCAGTGCCACCAAAGCTCTATGGTCCTACCAGGAAAGAAAAAAAAAAAAAAAAACCGCCTTTGTACAGAGAATTCACATTAAGTGAACATTTTGGCAAGTTTTTTTCTGGGGCACTTGATCAGTCTGTTCTTGATTCTTACAAGCTGTAATTTAAGCAGGTAATACAAGTTCTCATAAATCGTATCTGTAACAAATGAAGAAAGCTTCTACTATTTGCTACTATATATTGTAGTATTGTACTTGTACATCTTCGTATATAAGGATTAGCCATTTGAAATTATTGTCTTCTACATGTGCTTATAAAAATTTCAACAATTTGTTTAAAAATAAAAATAAAAAATTGTATAAGGATGTTGAAGTTGTTGGTTGGTGTGGATCCTAATATGTGCTACACACTAACCATGTACTACACATTAACTGCTAGAATGTGAATTATTTATTGATGATATTTCATAGTTATACTACATAGTTATAGTTATAGTCTTTCATCTCTTTGTATTGTATTGTAATTTGTAACTCTTTCAAATGATAGTGAATAGCAATTGTGGACTTGGACGTATCTTGGTTGAACCATGTAAATCTTTGCATTCTTATGGTCTTAATTTTAGATTCTTGTTTCTTTTGTTTTTGGTGTATCTTATCTCACTGATTCTAATTAGATTTATCAATTCTTAACAGAAGTAAGATATGTTAGCTGTTTGTGGGTTCTTGATATGAATTTACCATCTTGGCACAACATGACACTTGCATTTCAATAAAATTGAATCCCCTTTTATATATTTTTGGTATCTGTCAAAGATATAGTGAAAGTCAACATTATTAAGCATCTCATGACGCAAATGTCACGAGTTTGAATCCATGATATGGGACAGGGGATAGCATGTATCCCTTGCAGGATGTTATGTGGGATCACCACCTTGTTTATGATCTCCTTACCTAAATTATGTCAGGTTTGGTGATTACATTAAACCTGTTTTTGTATCAAAACACCTACGAACCATGATAATAATTTTCTTAATTTACTTCTTGAATTGTCTTCAATAATTATTGTAATGGAAAATTATATATCAGTGCACATGACCAAAAATAATCACAAACACATGGAAGATTGTAAAAGTTGCACCTCAAGAAGATTCTCGTTCTTTAGTAAATAATTGTCTTAGTTCTTACTGAATGGTAATTTCCGTTTATTGAAAGTTACAAACTAATGTGATTATGTTATAAATATTATGGTTATGTTATGAATAGTGTGGCAAAAATTCTTCGAATCATTTGCAGTCAGAAATATTATGAACCGTTACGATATGTTTTACCCCCGAGCTATACCCCTTCAAATATTAACTTCTGTTCCAGTCCTTCTACTCTCAGTTCAGAAAGTCAATCAAAAAACTAATGTCATAGAAAGTAAATCAAGTTGAAAAGGCCAAACACATCCTTGGAGGTAGAAGAATTAGTTGAAATGCTCACATCCTTCAACTTGGATACCATTTGCATTTGATGGCATAAAAGTATGAACAACAGGGCAACAGAAGAATATTTCCATTACGTATTACCAACCAAAAAGTGAAGATAAAACCAGTATATGTTCCACAAAATCTTAGAAACATTTCTAAGTTGATTCGACCCTTTATATCTCATGGTTCTACTTACATCTATTCAAATGGGCGCAATGAAGTAAGCACTCCAACACCAAGCGATCACAAAAAATAAAAACAATGGATCCAAAAATACACAAATTCCCTAGTCAAATGATGAAAAGCGTGGTGATAGTGTGTTTGTATTTGCTTCCAAAAATTCTTTTAAGTTTTCTCAAGTACTTTGGGAAAAAAAAAGAAAAAAAAAGAAAAGTGAATTTCTTAACAAGCTTTGCTTTTATCCCTTCTGATCACATCTGAGAAAATTGTCATATACATCCCTGCAGACTTTCTTCTGATGTCAATGATTTTTCAGAGTATTGATGCATATAAATAAATGATTCCCTTAGATATGCTCATGGAAAGCATACTCAAACTAGAGGATATATATAAATTGAAAAGATAGTTCACTAATCCTCTAGTGAAGGTACAAAAGATGATCAAAGATATTCTAATCACTTAGATCCTCATTTCTATTGAAGAATCATACACGATCCAACTTTTCCCAGTAATGCATAGGTTCTTGAGAATATTGGTATCTCAAACTACATGTCCAAATATGAGAATACAACATTTTATTACGTCATCATCACTATCCTGACATTTAATTTGGGGAATTGTCAGAATATTGATAAGAATCTAATCAAGAATACGATGCCAACAACATGCCATCAGAATCAAAGCCAAACTCTTCCATCACCTTCTATATTTATAGATGCATAATTGGTCACCATGAAAATCTGTTTAGGAGGAAAAAAACATAGGGATTGAATGGCATTTAGGCTTATGGGCATGTATAGGAGGTTCAAACCACACCTCCTAATGGTTATAGCTCAGATAGGCTATACATTTCTATATTTCATCACCGAGGCCTCATTCAATCATGGAATGAATCCTCATGTCTACATAACTTACAGACATATAGTAGGTGGTTTTGCAATGCTACCTTTTGCTTATTTTCTTGAAAGGTAAATCAACATGTATATGTATGAATGCATGTGAATCCTGTGTAAATTTTTGAAAATTAGATGCAAGATTTTAAATATTGGCCAAGAGTTAGTATACTAAGAGGAGTTGATTGATGATTATATCAAAAAGTTTTCAGTCATTGTAGGCAAGTAGTTTACTGATTATTCATTCTTCGCTGTAGGAAGACAAGGCCAAAGTTGACAGTAGCTCTGTTTATGGAGATTTTTGTTGTTTCTCTTCTGGGGTAAGAATAAGATTACATTAGTGCTAATAAGTTTCTAAACAAAATTAGGAAGGTAACTAAATAGTATTATTTCAATTATTACAGGGTGGGTTTGACTCTAAACATGTATTTTGCAAGCTTGAGATACACTTCTCCCACATTTCTTGCATCCATGGTCAACACCATAGCTTCCTTGACTTTTGTGATGGCAGTTGTACTCAGGTAATTACCATCCCACTTCATCTATCAAACTCTAAACCCACAATATGTGTGCGGACGATTAAATTGGGTTTTTTTTTTTTTCTTTATTTCTTATAACATATTTATATTACATTTGTGTGCAGGTTGGAGGTTCTTGACATTCGAAGCCGTCGTGGGATAGCAAAAGTTCTTGGAACCTTGGTGTCCCTGGCTGGAGTCATGGCCATGACATTGTACAAGGGACCTATTGTGAGGGAGCTGGGGCATCCTTTTATCCATGTTCATGGAAAAACAAGCATCAAGGAGAACTGGTTGAAGGGTTCGATTCTTACTGTAGCAAGCTGCATATCATGGTCTATATGGTACATTATGCAGGTTTATGACCCAAACTCTATAACCAATCTATGTTCAGCTAGCTAGTTTTTATAAAGGTATATCCCTTTTTTGTAATTGCTAGTAATTAAGTTACACATCAGAGATTCATGAAAATTGACTTATTAAGGATTTAATAAAAGTGAACTAAAAATGGAAAAAGCCCATTAAAGAAGCTGGCAGGTCACCATAGTGAAAACAATTTTACGAAAAAATGACATATGCCAAATGTAAAACTTTTCTCATAAATAAATATTGCAGGCATTCACATTGAAGAGGTACCCAGCACAACTATCACTAACAACATGGATGAGCTTTGTTGGAGCAGCACAATCAGCTTTCTTCACAGTGATTGTAGCACATAAACCATCCGATTGGACTATCGGTTTCAATATTGACTTTTGGTCTACCTTATATGCTGTAAGGCTTCAAATCAAATCAATAATCTAAAATATTCCAGAATTTAAATCAGATTTTCCCACGAAGTTCATTGTATATTTTCTCATGGCAGGGAGTGGTGATGTCTGGCATGGTAATCTTCGTCCAGCTATGGTGCACAGAAAAAAAAGGACCAGTTTTTGTGACAATGTTTAATCCCCTATCGACAATATTAGTGGCAGTCCTAGCATACTTTGTCTTCGGTGAAAGACTTTACATGGGCAGGTAAATATCACATATTTGACTTTGGTATCATTTTCGTCTTTTTGGTTTTGTTTTTTGTTTTTGGTTTATTTTCGAATTTTTTTTTTTTGAATAGTTCATTTAAACTCTATATCCACCTTTCTCGACACCACATTGATAATGTATTCATCCGCCAGAAAAGAAAACGAGATAAACTTGTTCGTCTAAAACTTGTTCATCTAACAAGTTTTTTGTATTTTTTGAAAATAACTTGGCTTGTCTCTAGTTGGAGAGAAGATTGGATCGGTCCAGTCTGGAGATTGAGCACTAAAATTTCATCCTTTTTTTTTATCTTGTTATTCAGCATAATAGGGGGAGTTATAGTCATTGTTGGACTATACTTGCTGTTGTGGGGTAAAGAAGGTGATCAACAACAAGAAATGAAGCCAAAAGTGCAATCCTGTTCATCTTATGAAGAGCACAAAGCCCCGAAAGAAGAACCTTAAAAAAAATATCAATGTCTTAATTTGCTTTAATTAGCAAATGATTGAGGAGAGATTGTATGATTTGATCAACAAAAACAACAGAATAAACACAGAAGCAATGAGTGAAAAAGAGCTCATTTTCTTGATATTACAACTACAATTTGTTTTTTAATGATATCTTCTGTACTAATGTCTTCTTTTAATTATTCAGTTTCATGTAATGTTTTCGTATTTATAATTATTTATTCTATCAATTAAGGAAGAAAAAAACTTTTTTATTAACCAAAAACATAAAAAGTCCAAAGGTAAATGAAATCAACAATTAGCGGGTTGATGGAACATTGTTCAAGAGATTCTATCAAATTTGTTTTAGTATTAGCATTATCTAATTCAATAATTATGTTCTTGTTCATGTGGGTCGCCCAAAATAATGGTTGAATTTTAATTTATATGTTCATTAATTATGCAATGAAAAGGCATGGCTAGATACCAAGTTTTATCAAGAAGCTTTAAAGTTGCTGTGAAAAAAACACACCGTCAACATTAAAAATAATGAAAGCATTTTTTTTAATTTTTATGTAATCTTAAGAAATTGATAATTCCGAAATTAATAGTCCATGTAATCCAGTCAATTAACACATTTGCTAGTAGTCCATGTAGTTTATGGCTTCCATTGTCTAACAAAGAGGTGAAATATTTTTTTATGAATTTTGAATCTTCATTTCACACACTTGGTATTATATATAAATGGAAAATGTTGGTAAACCTACTATCTATATTCCATTTTTTTTTCTAGGTTCTGTTTTATATATTAACATAGATGATCATTTGGATCCAGGCTGGGAACTAGTTGAAGCGTTGAACAAGAACAAAAACCATAACAAAACCATACCTTCCATCACCAACATTAGGCATTATTAAGACACAACTACTTGGTTGGCCTTGTGATTACAACAATAATGGTAGGTTCAACCATGGACTCTCTCTCTCTCTCTCTACCTCTATATATTCCTAATGAAAGAGGACATGTCCTTTTCTCTAACCATTTTCTTTTTATTTTTTAAATTTTAGCTGGTCTTCATAACTCTTTCCCTATCAAGTCTCAACCAAAAACAAAAAGTACAATAATTCAATTCAACCATGAACAATGATGCTCCTAATCATAGTTGTAAGCCAATTAGAAGACCAACCCTAACAGCAACTTCATTGATTATTGTCAAAATGGCAGTGCTAAATTTACAATTTGTAGAATGTAAATTTTTTAGCAATGTTGTTCGACTTGTGCAGATGTTATTTTAATATATTTGGATCATTACTTATTTCTATCTATTGTTGACTCACATCTAAATAAACCAATTAATTAAAATTTCTCTTATGGTGCGCTGAGTTAGCAAAATTGACATTGTTAAATTTTAGACAAAATTTAATAATGTTATTTTTTGATAAATCTTTTGAAGAGTCGTTGAATTTTTTTTAGTGAAACTGCTATAATTTAACAATAACAATTATTATAACAAGCTACTCAAGTTGCTCTATTTGAATCTCATGCAAACATAGACCCAAAAATCACAACATTGCTATGAATTCTTTAAATTGAAGAAACTGGTTATACATATATATGTCACATACAGTACTATCTTTGCTTCTAAACAATATCTAATATCTCTAAACTTATAACGTAAAGTAAAGTACAAAGCAAAACTAACATTGATTAAAAAAATAATAATAATGAGATCAAATGAGCACAAAGTCCTTTATTCCCTCATGCACTCTCGGTCTTGTAGTTGTGCTTCAAAACTCTATATCCACCTTTCTCGACACCACATTGATAATGTATTCATCCAATCAAAAGGGATTATGTATTTACATATCCAAAAAACTAAAAATAATATAATGAAATCACGAAACACTATTATGTGATTTTTCAAATCATTCAATAATTTCCTGCTATTTTAAATTTGTTTTCACAGTATGTGATTGAGAGTACATTAGAGACCGGAGGACAAGGATTCCAAGAAAATAGAATCGTAACAAATCCTATGTGTCCAACTGAATTGGTCGAACTCCAAGTCTTGATCCCCTTCCACTTCCAAAGGAAAAGAAAGATCTTCGGACTCTGCTACTGCAACCTTCACTAGCAAGACCAACCTCATTGACATGCCTACTCTGTTCTACAATCTCTTGAACTGCTAAATATAATTGTCTGTCACTCGCCGAGTCCATTGAAAACGATCTCCTTATTGGTTGTACTGCAAATTGATCATCCTTTTTTCTCATGTCAATGCACTCATCCCCCATACTCAAAACATGGTCCAACTTTTTCGCTTTCTTTTTTCCCCCAACAATCTTCGGCTCAAACTTTCCCGGAAAATGAAAAACTGCTCTGGCCGATCTTTCTTGCAGTCCAAGCAATGCTTGATCGACAGAATTGGGATCACCCAATTCAATGACCACATAATCTTCATCTTGTGTTACGAAAATATCAGTGTTTGGATCTGGGATTTGAGGAGATGAACTCGGAGCGAGGATTTGATCGAATGGGAATTGGGATGTGGTGGTTGAAATTGAAATGCTTGTTCTGCAAAGTGGACAATTGACATTGTTTTGAAGCCAAACATCGATGCAATCAACATGGAACACATGAGAGCAATGTGGTATAGCTCTTAGCCTCTCTTCTTCTTGGAAATCATTCAAACAAACCGCGCATTCACTGAAGCTTCTTTCTCTGAACCCAACAACATTTTCTGATCCTTTCGTGAATTTGAAAACTGGGATTGATTGAATCGCCGATTCCTCAAGTCCTCGTCTTAGAATCCTCGGAGAGAAGACTCCGATGTTGTCATCTTGTGTTCGATTTCTAGAGATTGAAAAGCGATTCAGAAAATCGATACGGTGCCTATTTAGGCAGCATTTGATGACAAATATGTAGTAGCTTACTAGCAAGAAAGCTGTGGTGAGAATGCCAATAATGGCAATGGCAAGGATTGGGGAACTAGTGTTTGAAGATTGCAATGGTGGTCCAGCGAGTGAGGTTGGAGTGGTTTTGGTGGGAGAGAGAGATTGTAATTGAAGGGTATGGTATTTTTTGTTTAATAGATCCATCAAAACAGAGTATATAACAAATGTACATACAAATTGGTCTGTTCAGATCACAAAGTTCACAAAAATGTGTTTTGTGTATTGGGTTATTTCAATATCAGAGCAAAATGGAGTTCTTTGAAAGAACTTGAGAGAGAGAGAGAGAGATTGAGATTGAACTTGCGTACTATTGTAGGGCACATTGAAATGAGTATGAACCTTATATTTGATGGAGAGAGAAACTGAGGAACTCTGAGGGGGTACGTGTAGTTGGTGAATTTTGTCGTCCTCCAATAACAGTAGTTTGGTTGGCAAGAAAAATTTTTCTGAGACTTTCTCTCTCGATAATTGTGACTATTTTTATTGTTCAACAGAAATGTGTGGGTTCTCTTTAAAAACGAGAATCTATAGAGTGGACGGCGCTCTAGCATGAATGATGGTAGGCTGGTTGGCTCTATACTAATAAAATGAAAAAATAAAAATTGATTAGAATATCAATATAGAATGGATAATTTCTAAATGCACTCACTTAATTTTTCCCTTCACCCACATGTGTACTAGCATTTGTTTATAATGTGGGTTGCATATAGAGAGAAATTTGACAGGTGTACTTTAAAGCTCATTGCATAAATGGCTTGATAAATATTAATTTGCTCATTTTAAAGTAAAATATCAATCAAAGTAAGTTAAATTTTTTTAAAATGTCACTTATATTATTTTAATCATGAATTATGTATAAATATTATAATAATAGATTTTTCAAAAACAAAAAATTAAAAAATTACATCGTATCTATTTTGTAAGGAAAATAAAAAAAGATTTTTGCAAAAGATTCGAGTCAAATATTTGTATGATAGATCAGATATCATAGCTTCAGAGAAATAATTTTTAATTTAGTATATACATTTTAGCAATCTGAACTAACATATGATTCTTTTCACTTATTAATTTACCCTTCAATCATATAGTCATCGAAAGATTTAAATATAAAATTATAAATACATCAAGTCTAAACCCATCACTATTAATGATGAATCCCAGGTAAACTTCGAATTTGCACAAACCCATGTTTGGAGCCAGCTTTCTGATGCAAGACATTACTCTCTTTGCATTCACATCATATATTTATTATTTATACTCTCACTGCTATTTGTAATTTCAGTTAGATAATTGATTTTTTTAAAAATATTTTTTAGTGGTGCGAGTGTTTTTTTTTTGGTCAAACTTACACTATTTGATTTTTTTTTAATTTATAGTTATAATATAATTATTTTAAGATTAAACTATTTTTTGGTAGTTTCCAAAAAAAAAAATTGAAAAAAAAATCTATAAAATGTAACACCTAGCCGTTTGGGTGGGTCCCAAACTTGAAAGCAATAGTCAACAAAGGCCTGATATCTGTATGCGTGTATGTGATGAAAAGTCAAAACCGTGTAGACAGGGTCTTAAAAAGTGAAACCAATTTGAATGGATAATATACAGGAGGGAAAAAGAAAGCCTTTACATGGCTTGCTTGTTGACTAATTAGAGAAAGACAAAGCCACACTTAGGTAGAGAGAAAGACTAGGCCACACTTTGGTAGGAAATAATTCTTCTCTTTCTGCATAGTGTCTGTACAGTCAAATGTTGAGGCCCTTGCAAGGAAACTTATAGGCGATATTTGATTCATTTTGGAATCACAATTCTAATTAAAAAAATTTAAAATTCATAATTAAACACAAAATTTAAAATTATTAAAAATTTAATTTAAAATTTATTTTTAAAATTCATAATTAAACATACAATTTAAAACTCAATTCAAAATTATTTTTGAAACTCAAAACCAAATTCTTTTCAAAACTCTATTCTAAAAGAAAAAAATTTAAAAAATATATTTTTTTTATTTTGTTTGGATAAATTACAAATACACTTCTTGAAATTTGATTAAAATACAAATCACTCCATGTGATTTTGGAAATTACATTCTACTTCCTAAGGTTTCTAATTTCATAACAAATCGTTTCTTTTATTAATAAATCATAAAATCAATTAACAGTTTTAATGATTTTAGAAATATGTTTCAATTAATAATTTAGGTAATTTTATTATTGTATAAGAGAGCAATTATGAATTTCATTTTTTAAGTTAATTCTGTTAATTAAAAAAATACTAATAAGGAGGTATTTGTAATTTTCTTTCGTGAATTTGAAAACTGGGATTGATTGAATCGCCGATTCCTCAAGTCCTCGTCTTAGAATCCTCGGAGAGAAGACTCCGATGTTGTCATCTTGTGTTCGATTTCTAGAGATTGAAAAGCGATTCAGAAAATCGATACGGTGCCTATTTAGGCAGCATTTGATGACAAATATGTAGTAGCTTACTAGCAAGAAAGCTGTGGTGAGAATGCCAATAATGGCAATGGCAAGGATTGGGGAACTAGTGTTTGAAGATTGCAATGGTGGTCCAGCGAGTGAGGTTGGAGTGGTTTTGGTGGGAGAGAGAGATTGTAATTGAAGGGTATGGTATTTTTTGTTTAATAGATCCATCAAAACAGAGTATATAACAAATGTACATACAAATTGGTCTGTTCAGATCACAAAGTTCACAAAAATGTGTTTTGTGTATTGGGTTATTTCAATATCAGAGCAAAATGGAGTTCTTTGAAAGAAGAACTTCAGAGAGAGAGAGAGAGAGATTGAGATTGAACTTGCGTACTATTGTAGGGCACATTGAAATGAGTATGAACCTTATATTTGATGGAGAGAGAAACTGAGGAACTCTGAGGGGGTACGTGTAGTTGGTGAATTTTGTCGTCCTCCAATAACAGTAGTTTGGTTGGCAAGAAAAATTTTTCTGAGACTTTCTCTCTCGATAATTGTGACTATTTTTATTGTTCAACAGAAATGTGTGGGTTCTCTTTAAAAACGAGAATCTATAGAGTGGACGGCGCTCTAGCATGAATGATGGTAGGCTGGTTGGCTCTATACTAATAAAATGAAAAAATAAAAATTGATTAGAATATCAATATAGAATGGATAATTTCTAAATGCACTCACTTAATTTTTCCCTTCACCCACATGTGTACTAGCATTTGTTTATAATGTGGGTTGCATATAGAGAGAAATTTGACAGGTGTACTTTAAAGCTCATTGCATAAATGGCTTGATAAATATTAATTTGCTCATTTTAAAGTAAAATATCAATCAAAGTAAGTTAAATTTTTTTAAAATGTCACTTATATTATTTTAATCATGAATTATGTATAAATATTATAATAATAGATTTTTCAAAAACAAAAAATTAAAAAATTACATCGTATCTATTTTGTAAGGAAAATAAAAAAAAAAATTTTGCAAAAGATTCGAGTCAAATATTTGTATGATAGATCAGATATCATAGCTTCAGAGAAATAATTTTTAATTTAGTATATACATTTTAGCAATCTGAACTAACATATGATTCCTTTCACTTATTAATTTACCCTTTAATCATATACTCATCGAAAGATTTATTATTTATACTCTCACTGCTATTTGCAATTTCAGTTAGATAATTGATTTTTTTTTAAATATTTTTTAGTGGTGTGAGTGTTTTTTTTTTGGTCAAACTTACACTATTTGCTTTTTTTTTAATTTATAGTTATAATATAATTATTTTAAGATTAAACTATTTATTTGTAGTTTCCAAAAAAAAAATTTGAAAAAAAAATCTATAAAATGTAACACCTAGCCGTTTGGGTGGGTCCCAAACTCGAAAGCAATAGTCAACAAAGGCCTGATACCTGTATGTGTATGTGATGAAAAGTCAAAACCGTGTAGACAGGGTCTTAAAAAGTGAACCCAATTTGAATGGATAATATACAGGAGGGAAAAAGAAAAGCCTTTACATGGCTTGCTTGTTGACTAATTAGAGAAAGACAAAGCCACACTTAGGTAGAGAGAAAGACTAGGCCACACTTTGGTAGGAAATAATTCTTCTCTTTCTGCATAGTGTCTGTACAGTCAAATGTTGAGGCGCTTGCAAGGAAACTTTATAGGCGATATTTGATTCATTTTGGAATCACAATTCTAACTAAAAAAATTTAAAATTCCTAATTAAACACAAAATTTAAAATTATTAAAAATTTAATTTAAAATTTAATTTTAAAATTCATAATTAAACATACCATTTAAAACTCAATTTAAAATTATTTTTAAAATTCAAAACCAAACTTTTTTCAAAACTCTATTCTAAAAGAAAAAAAATTTAAAATTTTTTTTTATTTTATTTGAGTAAATTACAAATACACCTCTTGAGGTTTGATTAAAATATAAATAACTCCCTGTGATTTTAAAAATTACATTCTACTCCCTAAGGTTTCTAATTTTGTAACAAATCACTTCTTTTATTAAATCATCAAATCAATTAACAGTTTTTAATGATTTTAGAAATATGTTTCAATTAATAATTTATGTAATTTTATTATTGTATAAGAGAGCAATTATAAATTTCATTTTTTAAGTTAATTCTGTTAATTAAAAAAATACTAACAAAGAGGTATTTGTAATTTTTCAAACCATAAAAGCAATATGTATTTTAAACAAATCTCATGGGTGTATTAGTAATTTACCCATTTTGTTTTATAAAATTATTTTTAGAATTATAATTTGAGTGTGAAATCGTGTTTTAAGTTATGAGTTTTGAATTGAGTTTTGAAAAAAGAAAATTTGTTTGGTTATGAGTTTTGAAAAAAAGTTTTAAGTTGTATTTTGAGTTTTGAGTTATATTTTTAAATTTTTTAGATTTATTTTTTTCAAATATTTAAATAATTTCTTAATTTTATTTTTTTAGGGTAAATATTTTATATTTTAAATATTTATTTATTTATTTATTTTAATGTACACTATATTTCATATATTTATGTGCTGTAATTTTTAAATATTTTAAATATATTTTTTAAATCTTAAAAAAAATTTAAAAAATATTTTTTTATTATAAATATTTATTTTATTTTATAAATATATTTTTAAATATTTTAATTTTTTTGTTTTGCGTTTGGTTACGATTTGAGTGTAGAGTCTTGAAAATAGTGTGAAATTTCGAGTTATGTGTTTGGTTATGAGTTTTAAAAATAATTTTTGAATTGAGTTTTGAGTTATGTGTTTGGTCACTATTTAAGCGTGAAGTTGTGTTTTGAGTTTAAAATATTAAAATAAAAAAATTAAAATGTTTACAACATAAAATAAAAGGGATATTTACCAATAAATCCTATCTCACAAACAGTTTTACCGATTGGTCCGAAGATTTTTTCTATTGTTCTGATTAGTCCTATTAGTGGGGAAATATTTACTAGTTGATCCTATTTCCTCTG